TATATATATATATTAAAAACACATAAAGGGAAACTTCAATACATTTTTTTTTAAATAAAAGAGTTGTAAAAAATAAAACAAAATAGAAAAATGTTAACAGATGTTAGACAAAATAAAAGTATGGGTCATGATTTAGTATACAAATGTAGTTTGGCATCACTGGCAGAGCAGCTTGTAGCAGCACTATTCTTTTTCAATATCAACACTGCAAACTTGTACAGATGACTTCCGTGGAACCAGGGGAATACAGGGATTGTATCTGTTTTGTAGTGGTGGAAGACAAGGAAAATGTGACAGTATTCTTTGGGGAAGACAGGAATGACCGAACAAAATACTGGTCATTTACAGTGGTCAGTTACAATGCAATATTGATAAAGTGTGGACAAATGACATACTCTGCAATGTATTTATAGTGTACAAACAAAGCATTACCTAAAGCTATTTTGATAAAACAATTAATATGTCTGATGCTGCCCAAAGGGCAGAATGGGTATGGTAGGGTAAAATGTACTATGAGGTTAGAAATGCTCAGGCCTAAACTATAGTTTTGTAGGGCACTCAGAAAGGGAAGGTTTATAGACAGATGACATGCTCATAATAGAAAAAGTGTACAATTACTATCATTTTGCACTGGCTAGAAAGAATACCTTCCTTTCTGTTGTAATTATATACTCTACAGAATGCTTTGAAACAAAACCATTGGTTCCTACGTTTTAGCCAAGGTTCCCTTTTTTGAAAAAGGAGTCCTTCACTACATTAAGACCCTAATCTTCTTTGCTATCATGAGTGCTATCATTAGCCCTCGAATGTCTAAAAAAATCTTCAGATGAATCTTTCAGAAACCACAACATTAAATGCTTTATCACATCAAAAACCTACATGGATCCTGGAGCACACTTTGGACTAATATTAACTAAAAACTATTAGCGCCATTATAGTTGTCATTTACAAACAGTAAAAAGGAAACTATAAAATTGGCCTGTTAAAGTAATCTGCCTTCAACATTTAGAGAAACACATCAGTAAAACTTACCTTGAACATATACAAGCTGCCCATTCCATTGCCTTCAGTAAGTGGCACACCCTTAAAAAAGAATACAATATGTTAAACAAATATTTGAGGGCCTGTCTACACCATCCAGTTAGTTCATCGCACTGCATGCATGCAAAATTTTTTGTGATCACACCACACTGAATGTGGGACATTGCTGTACCACGTTTAGGTGCGGACGATCATACTGCGGCGGGAGGTGTGTCTGCGGTGCCATTGAAATTGATTGCATCACCATCCCCCTCCCGCCCCAGAACACTGCGGGGCTTTGTTTATGCGATCTAGTGTGCTCATCCCACGGGACTGTGCGATAAACACACTAGATCATGTGAACGGGCCCCAAAAACATTACTATATGGGCCTGCATACAAACAGCCTTCAAACAGTGAAGTTTAAAGAGAGCTCTCTTTTTTTCTAGTTGTAATGAATCAGATCTGTGTGTTGTTGCTAAAATAAAGCAAAGCAACAACATAAAAAATAAATAAATAATTACACATGCAAATTATGTGATGCTGGAATGCTGTGTTTGCTGGTGCGTTCTGTCCATGGGAATCATACTATACCATAACACCACACACAGCTACCGCTCCCACACATGTAATCAAGAGGACTGGTGTTTTTCCCATGTCACCCTCAAAGTCACATAAATGCAAGGACCCTCTCCCCGCTGAATGGTATTTTTGAAAATGTATTCCCCCATTACATCTTCCCCAGGGCAGTGCCCAGGGCCCCCTTGTCCTTTGCTTGACAATCTATGCCTAATAGGCTTGAAAATGGACAGAACTGATTTTGTAGATTAGCACCTCATAGATTCATAGCCCATCAATGAGGTTTGGATTTAAGTTTGCAATCTTTGAGATTATGATGTGTTCAATCAACGGCCCATGAACCAAAACCAAGCACATATATTAATTCTTATTGATAACAGATTCTGCAAGGTTACCTCTACAAATCACCATTGGGATTTCATAGCTGCCAAGCTATATTGAATCAATACTACAGTGAATCTATATTGCATGGATAGTTTCCTTTCCCTGTTGCCAACTAGCAAAACTTGTATCATATGTCTAATTATAAATATAGTTAAAGCCACAAGAAAAAAATAATTCGATGACAAATTTCCTGTACCTTACCACGCCAATCAAAGCGCATGTACAGCATTTGTAATTACACATGATCCAAGTTCCTTTCTTGAAAAAGTTCAATTATTTTTTAAATACACAATGGGTAGGACATTCATGTCACAGTGTTTCTCAGAGTGCCAACACACAGCTAGCAACCATGAGCAACACAAGAACTATGGTATGCATGGGTATGTAGTTCAATACAATTCTGTTTGTATAAGAAAACTAACAATTTACTAGCAAACAAAATTCATCCTAACTAAAATATGCTATACAAACTACATTAGGCGCAATAAACTAAAAATGCTAAACTAATAAATACTTTCTGAATGGATAACTTGCTAGGGATGTCCCTTGGAACAAGGGATAGCTAATAATACTGAACTGTTGTGTGACCTTAAGATACTAACAAATTGCCGCCTCCAGCAATATATAATATTTTCCTTACCCTCTTTTACTGTCCTACACCAGCTCCTCTGCTTCATTCTCATCCCGCCGCCTTTGGCTATTTTCTATACCTTTTGTTACCGTGCTATCGTTTGTTTGCAACTCACAAATGTTGACAAAAACTTTTAAACAATCTTTATGTTGTCTAACCTGTATTTACACATATAGTGCTATCATAATTTTAAAACTGACCTGCCATTAGAGGAACTTTAACATTCTAATTTGAAGCAGAGCAGACTCTGCTATTGTATGATTGATAGTTGTGCTTGCATATATTTTCTGCTCTTTTTGACATTTTTCTATTATGCGTGTCACGTAAGTCTCTGGCTGGTAAATTTCTCTTTTAGGTCCTGGAAATCTGCCATGGTCAATCTTGAGCAACCAGTCAGATTTTGATTTACTCTTCTAGAGATACATGAACAAATTGGCTTTGGATAAAAAACGCATCAAACCGCTCATCGCTTTAAGCATAAAAATGAATATTCTGCACATCTGACACCAATGATGGGTTTCCTGTATCTGAGGCTCAAGATGGATTTATAATGTAAATTGTTTGTAAGAATATGTCACTATACTATGCACAGAATCACCGCATAACATGGTTATGCCTGGTGGCTGGCAGGCCTGAAGAACTAAACTATTTTTCTAACTGTTATCTATTGTCAACAAAGCAACTACATGTTATTAGTCTTCTGACTACATCTTCTATTGCTATAGTTTGAATAAAAGAACAAAAGAAGACATAACTAAAAGACTGGTATTTTTCTCTGCGTCATTATATAACATACCCAGCACTCTGTATGAAAACATATTTTTATATGCAGCTAAGATTACCTAATCTGCTTTAACGAATTAATCTATTTTTACCTCCTGCAGGCAGCCACTGGTCCTCTCTCCTTTGAAAGTATGTCCATTATATTGCCATCATCTACTTTCTTCTACACTGCTACTAAGCACATGCCAGCACCTTGAAGTGAACCTGTCTTACAAAAAATTTATACAATGTGCACCATTGCCTTCAAAGCAAAGGCCCCACGTCCCAGAACAAATTCACTAGAGTCTACCTAGAACTCTGCAAAAGTATCATAAACTGAAAAAAAACCAGAGCATCGGAACTCTGGATTCCATGTGGCAATGCCATAAGTATCAATAGGTCCTTTAAGCACCTCTTATTGCACTGTGGGATAGTGTCATTCCTACACTCTGCTTTTTTTAATTTGCAAGATTCAGAGCTGCTCCCAGGGTGCTTGGAAGACTGCTAGGAAAAAAAATGTATGTTATGACTACCTACGTGTCTATGCTTGCATGCCAATGCAGATTAATACTTCTTTTACTATTTTACGATAATACTGTTGCTTTGGTGGTGCAACAAATTCAGTGTGATAATTTTTTGAGGGTTTAATACACAGTATCTATGGACTTGGGCGTCCTGAGGCTGGGTGACACCCGGAGCGCAGACCGGGCGACATCCCCCCGTGACATTATCACGCATTCGCGATCGTCTTATTGACGCCTGCAGGCAACTATCTTGGTGATGGCTGCCAGCAGAGAGAGGAGGAGACGTTCACCCGGCAGGATGAGGTATGCCACCATTGCAAGATGGAGGAAAAAAACTATACGGACATGGATGTCACAGTGGTGAAATCCGCTCCATACTGCTCTAATTAGGAGAGGATCCATGCATAAATCCTCTCCAATAACCCCTGTGAGGATAGACTTTGAAGTTTATTTTGTTCTGTGGACAAATAGAAGGGTACAAGAAGCTCCCAAACGTTAGCCAACATATGTCTTTTCAAATGCTCCTTTTGAAATTCTATATATAGTTACAGTAATGAGCAGCACAAATCTTCAGGTCCCATGTTGTTTACTTGACTGTTTGGTCAGCTCAGTCTCAGCCTGTTCCTAGCACAACCTAGGACTCTCTCTCCAGTGCCTCTAATGTTGGAAGCTGTGCTGAGGACTGAACACAGTTGCTGCAGCATACTGGTCAGAAGCTGAACTGAGGTTAATGGCTGAAGTGACTGCAGGAGGTCTCTAATAATTTCAGCAACATGTGTGGATACAAAGCAGCATACTACAAGATCGAGAGCAAATACAGGGTTGTGGATACTTCCGGATGAAAAGTGTTACAAAGTAGCTAGAACTTCTGAATGCAGAGCAATTGCAAGTAGTTACAAGCTTCAGGATGGAGAACAGTTTCAACTGCTGTCTGCCAATATGCTCATTGCACTAACAGCGGGGAAATTAATCCCACGGCTTAAATTGGCACAGAAGACAGGGCTGTATGATGCTGCATGCGTGAGTGATAGGGAGGCAGCGCCAGCTGTGGCCGGCTTGGAGAAAGGCAAGTATATTACAATGGTATAGAATGTCACATTTTCTTTTACTCCTTAGAGGAATCTTCCAGTATAGCCCTAGTTAGATCAAGGGTGGTCACAAACCTGGCTGGAAGCAACCTCTCAGTTAGTTCATCAACCCTGGGGGGATGGAGTAAGCATCAAACGTTGATAATTCATTCAGTTTCTGGATGTCATTGCAAAATCTCAAGGAACCGTTTGGTTTGGGAACCAAGACTATAGGGCTACACTATTCACTTTCAGACTCTTCTACAGTATTACTCCAAGGCCTATAATTTTTAATACCTCCTCTGCAACTGCTTGTCTACAAGCATCCAAAATGTGTTCATCCGGGAAGGTTTGAGAACACATCTTTGTTCTGCTGCAGACATTTATTTACTAACTGTTTTTGGACAAGGGACAATGAATGTGCTATTTTAACCTTGCTTATTTCTACTCCTATCACCAGGGGCTTGTCGGTCCTGGCTGAGGAAGCATCGGTGTCCTCCTTGATACCTCTTAGTTTCAATCATTTCTGGTTCCTCCTTGTCCCTGGTTGCCAGAGTTGGAAGTAATTTCCGTCGCACAGGTGCAGAACTGACGTGGAGGTTCCAAGTGACCAGACAATGCTCCACCAGATCCAAGGGTGGGTCTGCAGATTTTGGATCTACCTGGCTCATACAAACCTTTAGGGTTAATGACAGGGCCCAAATAAAATGATCCTTTGTGGCCTGTTTCACACTGTGAGCCATGGCGAGACATTCTGGTTCCAGCAATTTATATGATGAACAAGCTCCTGCATCAGGGAATAGGGTGGCTCTCCTGCTTGATACACCCTGGACACACACACACACAAGGATTCACCTGCAGGGGTCAGAGGATTTTGGCTTTTAATTGCTTATGGGCCTTTGCCTCTTCTGGGACCAGATCCAAGTAGGCTTTCTGGTGTTCCCTGGAAAGGAAAGGAGCCAGTAACCCAACCAGTCAGCACTGGAGGAACAGAATCACCACTCTCTGCAGGGAGATGATCGGGAACTGAGAGATTGGCAGTATGTGATGGCAGCTCATCAATAATCAGAGACAAGCATAAGAGGTATGAAAATTGCTATTTAGTTACATATTTATTAATACGTTTATTTGTTTTTACTGTAATTTACCTTCACTCACTGTTGTAGTTTGAATCCTTTCTTGTCTGCTCACAATGCACTAATATGTTTCTTGTGCTTGGAATATAAGACCTCATTCACACTGCCTGCGTATTGTACCATATGCAACACATGCAAATAAATGGCTCCATACACACAACCGCGTATGGAGCCGTATATATTTGCGTAGCGTATATATGCGCAAAAACAGAATGGAACAGAGATGCGTCCGGGCAGCGTATTTCTGCGTATTTAGGCGCATATACGCGTATACATGCTTACAGCACATTAAAAATTCCATTACGAGTGATGCATTCTGGGATTGCATATAGTGCACGCATATACACTCGTATATATGCGCATATACAATCGTATGTACGCAATATACACTATTGCTTGCGTTGTGTGTGAATGAGCCCTAAGAGTTGGCACAGTTCCCATGAAAGAAAAACTGTACTTGCACTATTGTCTATATATATTGAACTTCATGTTAAAGTTTGTGTTCTCCTTTTGAACAAAAACTGATAAAAGCCTAAGCAGAGTTCAGATCCACTGAGATTGTATCCCATCTCAGCTTCCTACATGCCCAGCATAAATTTACTGTGGAGCTTTACAGGGATAAAGTGGAAAGACTTAGCATGAAGAGGAGAATAATTAGGCATGAACAAAGTACATATTTAACCAAAGAATTAACAATATGCAAGTTATAAAACACCAGCTGTTACAGTAATTACCATTTCAGAAGAATGACTATGTTACCATTGCAGTTCTTTTTTCTTCCACTGAGATAATGTGTTATAGTTAGCAATGGCATACATCTACTGGTGAGCATGTAATTAGTTATCCATCCAACAAAGAAAGAAGTATTCACAAATCAGCAGCTAGCTGGTCATTGTGGTTTCTTAAGGGTTAAATAAAATGAAATCTGATTTGTTCAGTCCATTTCTCCTATTCATAGTTTAGTGGAACATATTAATTCTCTAATACAAGGACTTGAGTTGGCCATTACAGAAAGATCTGTGATGACTGGACAAACTGTCCATTAAGTGTTCTTTTGGATAATTGAGCCACAGATCATTTTTTCCATTTGCTTTGCAGATGTCTTAGATCTACACCCTCTACCTTTTAGGTTTTTAGATTGGGTCACTCTAACATACAAAATATACAGTGTTTTTGCAAAAATATACAGTAATTGCCAAAGTTTTTTGAATAAAGGGATATAACACAAGTGTGATTTTATGATAAAGCTAAAAAATACATGTAAAAGTTTGTGTATTGATTTAGGAAAGCCTTTTCCCTTTTGATGCTACATTGTAATGCATGCAAGAAAAAATTATGTTTTTAAGTTAAAGAAGAAGTCCCACCAAAAGTAGGTTTGTTAAATCCCATAGGGCTCCCTGTGCTCATAGCACTCGTTAAAATTAGTGATGCGGTTTCTAAGCAGTGTTGTGGGATAGCTAACCCCTACCATTGCCCACTGCTACTCAACCACTCTGGAACAAGGAGATGACTGACAGTGCAGAGAGGAAAAGGGGCAGTGTAGACAAGATCACAGAGAGCCTGTACAGCCCCAATCTCCTCTGAAAGCTACAGACACACCGCATACCCCCTACCTTCCCTGCTCCATTTTTACAGATAACAGATTGAACCTGCAACTGTCTACAACCTCCTCTCCATTCTGCAGCCATGTCTCCTCTGCTAAGATAGACTAAGCCCACAATCTCCTCAAGTCTCCAGCTAATTCTGAGCAGATTACTACAGTATTAGCTGGTGGCTTGTGTTATTGTCAACCTGTGTTTTTGTGAATGACAAGTACTATAAGTTCACACAAGCCAGCAGATACTACTATAGCCCCCTTTCTGGTGGCTACTGAAGGATGCAGGCTCAGTCTTTTAACGGTATCAGAGGCAACATAAGAGGCTGCAGATTGGAGAAGGGGCTCGTGGGCTCAGTCTTATCAATATAAATGGAGCAAAGGAGGCACAAGCTGCACAGCAAGAAGGGCTGCAGAATGAAGAGGGGGCCATTGCTTCAGTGCTGCCTGTACCTCCCCCAAAGAAAACACTCATAATTCTGGCTTCTGCCTGGGTAGGAGCTACAACAAGCACTAACAGTAATAAACATGACATTTTATTTACAAACCACAGCACTAAAATTAATGGGGACAAGTGCTATGTGCACTGGGTCCCCTGGGAGCTTTAATAAGTATTTTTAATCAAAATTAGTTCAAACCCCCAAAATTTGAGACTGCAGAAGTCATTAAAAGTTGCATTTTCAGTTGAATTTGGGGAAACCACTTGAAACATTCATTGTGTTGACCTATTTCAATTGATTTTTTGTTTCATTTGTTCATTGCAAAAAACTGAAATTCTAAAAATTATGCCAATAAACCTGATTTACAATGGGGGTTGAATAATTGAGATTACAACTGCAGTGAATTTCAAACCTTTCAGGTTACAAGGATTTTTTTCTGAGTATTTCTTAAAGGTGAAAGAGCATCACAGATCAATAAGCCTTCAAACTATATGGCAGGAGCTCTTTACTCCATGAGGGCAAAAAGGAAAGTTAAGAGAGTATGGGAAAGCAGGGAGTCGCAACTAAAGAATGATGTAACTACTGCATAGCAGTAGAGGGCAACAATGGAATGTACCAAGGCACAAAAGTTAACCGCAACAATAAACAGGCTGCAAATGCACTTCTAATAGTGATCTAATACTGCCTGTAATCAGCTAGCAATAGATCCCTATAGCAGGGATCTTGTGCTGCAGGAGAAGACAGGACAGAGCTGGATCCGGGCTGCCCTATCCTCTGGAATGACAGAAGTACAGTATGATGTCACCTTTTCTGCAAACACAATATGGAAGCACTGTGAAGCAGTGCTCTGGTACGAAGTGCTCCTATAGAGCATATTGTAGCTGGATCACGAGCCCACAAGCTTATCAATTTAACACTAAATCATGCCAGCACTGACCAGAGCTGCTGAGTCTTAGTGCCATTTTAAAAAGGCACTGGGACAAATAGCTTCTATCCCAGAGTCAGTTTTAAAACATCCTCAGGGACTCAAGCGTTTAAAGTGTGCTAAAGAGTCCTCTCAAGAAAGATTATCACATGTGGTAATGATGCTTGAAAGGTACTTTAGCATGCCTTAAAGTGTGACTTTTTAAGTTGGAGTGGGAAAAGGTTAGAACTTCTGTACATAAAAACACACAATAAGTATGTCTCAAATGGCAATAAGGAAATAGTATATTTAAATATTGAAACTAAAACAATTTCTCTCAAGTTGTCAGAAACTACTTAAAATTATATTTTTTTATCATTTTTCTATGGAGCTGAATAATGTAAAGTGTAACTTTGGTTATATAAAAGTAGCCTTATTTAGTGCATATTGTCTCCACAACGATGCCTGGCAGAAACTTGCTTGATTGCTCTGCTGAATGCATTTATTTCATTATCCAAAGGTCTACTTTAAATCTTACAAATTTATTTAGGTACCCTATTAACAGAAAAGCACCCAATTTGTGCATCACTTGGAGGGTGACTACTTTTGTTCCACATGGTCCGTGTGTGCATTGTAAAGTAGACATCTCTCCATGCTCACTCCCATGATGGACTACAATCTCATGTTTAGTTTACTAATTTGTATATAGACTGTAGTTCATCACTGGAGTGAACTTGGAGTGGAATGGAACAAAACTAGCCACCCTCCAAAGGAAGGATACTGTCATCACAAATTCAGAGACTATTTGAGTGATGCACAAATAAGCTACATTTTTGTTAATACTTAAGGTACTTGTAAGAGACGGCTGTTTAAAGAAGCAATACAGAGATGTCACAAAATGACATTGTATTTTTTATTTGTTAAAAGGGATGCAAATAAAAAGGGAAAGATAGAGAGAGCACTTGTGGTTTGTAAAGGTTGAGTATTGAGGAAAGAAGACCAGGCAGGGGTATTGTTGTTTTTTTTCTGTTTAGGTGTGGTTTTTTGTTTGTCTAAAACTTGTGCGGGAATATGCAAGTTGTTTAAATTATGTAAAGAAAAGATTAACGAAAAAAAAACCAGAAAAAAAGCGACTGGAAAGCATTTTTAAGGTTTTACTCCTGACTTTAGTGTCACTCTAAGTTAAAATATTGATATTGACATGTAAATAATATTGAAATCTTAACGCAATTAGCTATAACTTTTAGCATACACTTTAAATATTAGCTACACCTGTGATTTGTAAATCT